TGTGCCAAACAAGTGCCAGGTAATGATAATCTCCAACAAGATAGAAGCTAACTATCACACTTGACACTCAATAGCATTACCATCATTGACTCCCCTATCAACATCTTGAGGGTTACCATTGAACAGCAGACTACCCACACTGACTCTCAGGCCTGCAGAAGCAGCCACTTACCCAGGAAACATGGGAGATGCACTGGCCTGCAGGTGAGACTGAAACAAGTGTTTTCCTGCCCCCCGCCCCTCCTCCCCCCAGCATATTCATGACAAATACACAAATCATTGAAAACAAGCTGGGTGAAGTTAAAGCTAGATTCATCTATCAAAGATAATTGACAGACTGCTGTGTGCTCTGTTTTACAGAAACAAGGCTCACTCCTGCTGCACCTGACTGTACCTTATAACCTGACGGTTTCTCAATCCACTGGCTGGACTGCAAAGTGCTGAGGGGTCTGCTTCCTAACTAATGCCTTTTGGTGCTCAGATGTGACAATCCTGGCAAGTTACTGCTCCCCGTACCTAGAATATCTAATGGTGAAGGGCCATCCCTACTACCTGCCACGGGATTTCACTTCTGCTATCCTGACAACAGTTTACATCCCACTCATCGCTGAAGTGAAAAGTGCACTTGATGAGATATACATCACCACAAATAGCCTTGAGATGGAATACCCAGAGGACTTGTTCATTGTAGCCGGTGACTTCAACCAGGCTACCAAGATACCATTAACACATTTCCTGTTCCACCAGAAGCTCACTTTGGACCATTGCTATACAACCATAAAAGATGCCTACTGTTCCATACCCCAACCGCATTTTGGTAAATCAGACCATAAGGCTGTGCTCATTCTCCCAGCTTACAAGTAGAAACTGAAGTGTGAGGGTCCGCTACAGAAAGTCATACAGCGTTTATCTGAGTTAACTAATGAGCTCCTATGTGACTGCTTGGAATTGGTACACTGGCCCAAAAATGGAACAACTCAGCAGCCAACCTAAATGAGTATGCTACCGTCACAGACTTCATCAGTAAGTGTGTAGAGGACTGCATGCCAAAGAAATTAATCTGAGTGCTCCCCAACCAGAAACCGCAGATGAACTGGGAGATCCACTTCCTATGGAAGTCCAGGTCTGAGATGTTCAAGTTGGGTGACCTCGAACTATACAGGAAATCTAGGTACGATGTTCACGCAGCCATCAGAAATGCCAAGAGACAATACCAGACCAAACTAGAGTCCCAGACTAACCATACAAACGCACATCAATTGAGACAAGGCTTACACAATATCATAAGCGACAAAATGAAGCCGAGTAGAATCGCTGCCAACAATGCATCCCTCCCCAATGTGTTCAATGCATCCTATGCTCATTTTGAGCAGGGAGGCAGTGAAATGATGCCATCTGCCCCGACAGCCTTGAGTGCACCCATAACCACACTCAGTCAGATCAGCCTTCTTGAGAGTTAAACCACGGAAAGTGACTGGCCCGGAGTCCCTGGCTGTGCGCTCACATCCTTCATGGACCAGCTGATGGGAGCATTTGCAAGCATCTTTGATCTCTCCTTATTCTGATCTGAGGTTCTCACCTGCTTCAAGGTGACCACTATCATCCTGGTACCAAAGAAAAATCAGGTAGCATGCCTTATTGACTACTGCCTGATGGCTCTGACATCCATCTTTATGAAGTGCTTCAAGAGGTTAGCAATGGCACATATCAACTTTGGCATCCCAGATTGCCTTAATTCACTACAATTCACGTGCTGTCACAACAGGTCCACAGCAGACGCCATTTCCCTGGCCCTACACTTATCCCTGGAACACCTGGATAACAAGGACACCTATGTCAAACTCCTAATTATTAACTTTAGCTCTGCCTTCAACACCATAATTCCAACCAAGCTCATCACCAAACTCTGAGACTCAGGACTCTGCTGTCTCCTTTTCAACTGGATCCTTGACTTCCTTACTCAGATCGCAATCAGTAAGGATAGGTGACAACATCTCCTCCACAATAATCCTCAAAACTGAGGCACTGCAAGGCTGTGTACTCAGCCCCTTACAATACTCCTTATTCACTCATGACTGTGTGGCCAAATCCTGTTCTAATTTACAGGTTTGCTGTTGACACCACCATAGTGGTCGGTTCTTAAACAATGATGAGAGAGAATACAGGAAAGAGATAGAGAGCTTAGTGGCATGGTGTAAAGACAACAGTCTCTTCCTCCATGTCAGCAAAATGAAGGAGCTGGTCATCATCTTCAGGAAGTGGAGTGGAGGACATGCCCCTGTTTGGATCGATGGTGCTGAGGTGGAGATGGTCAAGATCCTCAAGTTCCTAGGAGCAAATATCACCAACAATCTGTCCTGGTCCATCCATATCGATGGTCAAGAAAGCACACCAATGCCTCCACTTCCTCAGAAGGCTAAGGAAATTTGGCACGTCCACAAAATCTCTTACCAATTTTTATAGTTGCACCATAGAAAGCATCCAATCTGGATACATCACAGCTTGATACGACAATTGCTCTGCAAGACCACAAGAAATTACAGAAAGTTGTGAATGCAGCCCAATCCATCATGCAACCCAGCCTTCCATCCATTGACTCCATCTATACTTCTGCTGCCTTGGGAAAGCAGCCAGCATAATTAAAGACCACTCCCAACCCAAATATTCTCTTAAACCATCTTCCATTGGGGAGAAGATACAAAAGTTTGAAAACATGTGCCAACAGGTTCAAGAGCAGCTTCTTGCCTGTTATTATCAAACTTTTAAATTGACCTCTCATATATTAGAGTTGATCTTTCTCTGCCCCTTTTCTGTAGTAGTAACATTATATTCTGCATTCTGTTCTATTACCCTGATGTACTATGTAGGGTATGATTTGCCTGGATCACATGTAAAACAATACTTTTCACTGTAATTAAATATATGTGACAATAATAAACCAAATCAAATGAAATCAAATTGACCAGAAGCCGAACCAGACTGGCCTTATAAAGTGGGAAGGCATGTGGCGAGGATAACACAAATAATCTACAGAGAGATATAGAGAGGTTAAGTGAATGAGCAAAACTTAGGAGCTGGAGGCTAATGTGGGAAATTGAGTTTATGCACTTTGGCAGAAAGAAGTGCTGAATATTATGCAAATGGAGAAAAACTGCAGAACATTGTCATACAGAGAGATTTGGGGATCACAAAAAGCTAGTATCCAAGTTCAGTGGATAATGAAGAAGACACATAGTAACATAGAAAATGGGAGCAGTAGGCCATTTGATCCTTCAAGCCTGATCTGCCATTCATTACAATCATGGCAGATCATCCAATCCAATAGCCAGTTCCCGCTTTTCTCATCATATATTTTAATCCCTTAGCCCCAAGTGCTATATCCAACTCCTTGAAATCATGTCTTGCTGTTGTCTGCTTTCTGTTGGAGTGAATTACACAGGTTCACCACTCTTTTGGGTGAAGAAATTTCCCCTCATCTTAGTCCTAAATGATTTACCCACGATCTTAGACTGTGATATTTGATTCTGGACTCCTCCACTACCCTGTCCCCATTCTTTGGGAACCACACTTCCTGCATCTACCTTGTCTAGTCCTGTTAGAATTTTATAAGTTTCAGTGAGATACCTCCACGTTCTTCTGGACACCAGTGAACATAATCCTGAATGATTCAACCTCTCCTCACACTCAGCCCCCACCATTTCAAGAATCAGTCTGGCAAACCTTCACTGTACTCCCTCTATAGCAAGTTTGTCATTCCTCAGATAAGGAAGCCAAAATTGCATACAATATTCCAGGTGTAGTCTCACCAAGGCCTTACATAATTGCAGCAACATATCCCTGCTCCTGCACACGAATCCTCTCACTATGAAGGCAACAGGATGAAAGGAATCCTTATTAAGGGACTCGACAGGGTAGAAGCAGAAAGGTTGTTTCCAGTTAAGGGGGAGTCCGGAGATGAGGAAGATTTTATTTCTTCCAGAGGGTAGTCAATCTGTGGAATGCTTTACTGCAGAGGACTGCCGAGACTGGATCACTAAGTATATTCAAGGTTGAGATAGATTTTTTAATCACTAAGGGTATCAATTCTTTTGGGGAAATGGCAGGCTAATAGAATTGAAGATCAGCAGATCAGCCACAATATTATTATATGGTGGGGCAGACTCAATGGGCTATGCTTGTTTCTACTTCTTATGGTTTTATAACTTCTCATCAAGAAATACTATTGTACAAATGTAAACTGGATGACAGTTCTGCAAATACTACATTGTTGAATGCCACCCATCATCTAGATAGTCTGTAACATAAGCAAGTAATGAGCTATGGTCTACAAAGGACCAGAGGCATCACCCATCCCTTTAACCAAGAATGTCATATCCATGCATGTTTGAAGAAGGTTTTTTTTTTACCATTAGTGATACATTAATACTGACATTTTGATGTCAGTAGGAAAATACGAATGATATTGGCTTCCTCATTTTATATTTTTGAAGATTCCTATGCAGAATTTACTCCCACCTTCCTTGCTCTGTTATCTTGATTTCCTGAACAGCTCAGTAATTTTTAAGATTACTGGCATTTATGTTTAATACAGTATATTATTGCCCATCTCGTTTGACCTCTCTGCTGCCTTTGATACAATTGACCGGACCATTCTTCACCACATATTCTTTGTCAGATTAGTGGACCTGCGTGTGTAGTTCTACTCTTAGCTGAGCGATCATAATCAAAGAACCTCCAATGATGGCTGGTCTGCTTCTCCTGCATCATTAGCTCTGAAGCCCTCCAAAATGCTGTCATAGACCTCTTCCTCTCCATGCTACCCCTTACTGATAATTCACAAGTATGTAGTCAGTTTCCATATGCACATTGCTGATATTCAGCTTTACTTCACCACTATCACTCTTGAACCCTTTGGTTGATGGCTGACACCATTCTTACGTTTGGGAAAAGATTAAGTGGTGTAATGTGATTAAAGAAAGCACTTCACAGAAAAAGAAACATAACTATTCCAATATTTTCATTGGATTTCTGAAATAGCACAAGAATACATTTAAATTTCATTGCACAATAAAACAAAATCAGAGTAAATTGCAGTCATCAATAAATTCAGAAATCCTTAAAAATATGCACCTCAAATGCTGTTTTGATATATTTAATTGGAAATTAAAGAACTGATGAGACAAAATGTCATATTACATAAATCAGGGTAGGAATAACAGCAAAATGGACTATGTTTTAAATGGTAAAAAATTGCAGCATGCTGCTGTGCAGAGGGACTTGGGTGTCCTTGTGCATGAATCGCTAAAAGTAGGATTGCAGGTGCAGCAGGTAATTAAAAAGGCAAATGGAATTTTGTCTGCCATTGCTAGAGGGATGGAGTTTAAAAACAGGGAAGCTATGCTGCAGCTGTACGGGGTCCTGGTGAGGCCACACCTGGAGTACTGTGTGCAGTTTTGGTCTTCTTACTTGAGAAGAGATATACTAGCACCGGAGGGGGTGCAGAGGAGATTCACTCGGTTGATTCCAGAGTTGAGAGGGTTGGATTATGAGGAAAGACTGAGTAGACTGGGATTATACTCATTGGAATTCAGAAGAATGAGGGGAGATCTTATAGAAACATACAAGATTATGAAGGGGTTAGATAAGTTGGAGGCAGGGAGGTTGTTTCCGCTAGGGGGTGAAACTAGGACCAGAGGGCATCGCCTCAAAATAAGGGGAAGCAGATGTAGGACTGAGGTCAGGAGGAACTTCTTCACCCAAAGGATTGAAAATCTGCGGAATTCCGTGCCCAGTGAAGCGGTTGAAGCTACCTCGCTGAATGTTTTTAAGGCAAGGCTAGATAAGTTTTTGAACAGTAAAGGAATTAAGGGTTATGGTGAGTGGGCAGGTAAGTGGAGCTGAGTCTCAAAAAGATCAGCCATGATCTTATTAAATGGCGGGGCAGACTCGAGGGGTCGGATGGCCTACTCCTGCTCCTCGTTCTTATGTTTCTGTTGTCCAACAAGTCTCTTCTCACATTCCAATACAAGGAGAGGTACATGCAAGCTGCAACAGAGAAACATGTCTAACCATGTCAGCAGCACGGCAGCAAATAGTTTTTGTGAAATACTGATATCACTGGTTCAAAGTAACCATCACACGGAGTTCAGCTAATGGTTTTCTCTTAATGTACTGCTCGCTTAACTATTTTATTTCCAAGTATTTCAAGTACATGAACCTATCTAATTGTTTGATTCATAAGGAAAGAGATGGCATTGTTTCTTCTTTCTAAGCTTGATCATGCACCTTACAGTCTTGCATGCTATTTCCCCAGATTCAGGATCTAGAAGTTCGTGGAGGTCAGATTCAATCCAATGTAAAACAAAATGTACTGGAACAATATTTTATTGTTGGTGCATAGAACTTGAGTGCAATAAGTATTTTTAATAGAAAATCAAATATAGGACGAAATAAAAATGGAAAAATACAACAATTGTGGTAAGAAAAATTGTTATGCAACTATAAAGTATAAGCTTATCCTCGACTGAAAATTCTACAATTGAAAAAAAAGAATTCTTTAATGTCCTTCCAAATTAGTCAGGAAGGAGTTTGGATCAGTTTCTGCTGTTTTGAAGGGCCTCTTGAAGTATTTTGTTGAATTCTGCAAGTTGTTTAGCCACATTCTTCACCACTGGCTGGTAGTCACTCTCCATACCCTTTGTAGCAATGACTGGTAAATAGAGTTAAGAAAATTGACTAAAAAAATTACAAGTGAAAACTGCTCTTTTGAAAATTAAACAGATTGAATATAAAACAAATTAAAAACTGGACTCCTCTCCAACTTGGGGAGGGCATTCAAATTGCCAATTTTTGAATCAAAATGTGCCATCTACTTTTATGGTGCAAGAGTCTTTACTTTTTAATTGATCAATATTAGTAACATCAAAAAAAGTTTCTGACTGATGCTTTCAAATAGGCCAAGAATGAAAATTTATGTTCTGTAAACAAGTAAAAGAGACTTAAATATGTTTACCAAAACATTTAAATGGTAAATGTATAAAATCTGATTAACTAAGGAAACATAAGAACATAAGAACTAGGAGCAGGAGTAGGCCGTCTGGCCCTTCGAGCCTGCTCCGCCATTCAATAAGATCATGGCTGATCTTTTCGTGGACTCAGATCCACTTACCCGCGTTCTCACGTATCCCTTAATTCCTTTATTGTTCAAAAAAAATCTACCTTTTTTTTAAAAACGATTACTGAAGTAGCGTCAACTACTTCACTGGGCAAGGAATTCCATAGATTAACCCTCTGGGTGAAGAAATTCCTTCTCAATTCAGTCCTACATCTGCTCCCTCTAATCTTGAGGCTATGCCCTCTTGTCCTAGCTTCACCTGCCAGTGGAAACATCCTCTCTACTTCTATCTTATCTATTCCCTTCATAATTTTATATGTTTCTATAAGATGCCCCCTCAATCTTCTGAATTCCAATGAATATAATCCCAATCTACTCAGTCTCTCCTCATAAGCCAACCCCCTCAACTCCGGAATCAACCTAGTGAACCTCCTTTGCACCCCCTCCAGTGCCAATACATCCTTTCTCAAGTAAGGAGGCCAAAAGATCACAAGATTGATAAATACAATGACAGATCATCATATACTTAAATACAAATTTGTTGATGGCAGTAAAAATAGACTATCAAGAGGTAGGTGGAGAATACTGATGATCACACAACAAAATGCAGTTGAAGAGGACAAGCAGTAAAACAAAGTGTAATGTCAAGCAGCATGAATGTGACAAATCCACTTACTTTGATACTATTGCATGCTACAAACACTGGCTTTACGTATAGAAGTAAAAATAGCAATGTGCAATGAAAAAAAATTGTGAACTTTGTTTTTTTAATGCATATTTATTTCACAAATGTAATTTTCAGGGATGTAGAGAATCAGTAGAAAAACAAAATAGGTCCTGAAACCAGTTTGACATTTCTTGAAACAACTTAATTGTTAATTTTATTGTATTTGTTGCTCATTGGCTGGTGTTTTAGTGATTTCTGGTTATTTGTAGCTTTGTCTAGGCTGTTAGTGGAATGCCACATAACTTCCATGCCATACAAATTAGGAGCACCAGCAAGTTATTTGGCCTCTTGAATCTGCTCTACCCATTCGATAAGATCATGGTTGATCTGATTGTGGCCTCAATTTTGCCTTTCTGTCTACCCTCTCTACCTATTGACTGTTGTCAATCAAAATCTAACAGCTTTAAAACATTCAATGAGCCTGCTTCTGCTATTCTGAAGAAGAAAATTTTATAGACCAATGAATGGCTGAGAAAAGAATTCTCATTTCAGGAGTAAATGGGAAATCTTGTTTTTAATCTGCGTCCCCTAATTTTAGTCTCGCCCACAAGGGAAATATCCTGTCAGCCTCCACCCAATCGATTCCCCTCAGAGTCTTATATGTTTGAATAAGATCATCTCTTACTATCGGATGGTGGTTTGTCATATCTTATTTAGCCAAGATATTTGAGGTATTTTTGTATGCATTTTGAAAGTCTCCAAAGGATGATATTGAGCAGAGTGTAATGAATACCTTCTCAAATGTTTGGTCATGTTAGAAGACAATTGTGTAAATTCTGGCTATAACAGTAATTATGACAGGAAATAGTTTACAAATTATAGTGACAACCGTAGTTGAGCCCCAACGTCACCATTGGAATTTAAGGAAGCTTTTGGTGATATATTTGCTTAATAAACTTTTTTCTCTTGATTATGAAATACAAAACAGGACCAGATGTCTGCCTGTAGGCCAGTCTATTCTTTTTGCTCTGACAATCAGCTTTAAAAACAGCTTGGGCTCTTCACTCAAAGTGATAAATGTTTTGAACAACTTCTCAATATAGTAGCAGCAAATGCACCAAGATGGTTAAAATAAGGCTGAATGGTAAAAGAAGAGAATTAGGAACAGAGAGGGGAATGAACTGTGTAAGAAAAAAAATGTCAGTTATGATTTAGTGCATGCAACCTTTGCCTCCAAATCAGAAGGCTGCAGATTTATATAGTCCAGCCCAACACTAAAACAGCTCGGGGGCAGTGCTGTGGGTGTTGCATTTTCAGTAAGTTAGGTCAAGTCTCTACCTCTCGCACCAGGTAAATGTGCAAGATCCCATTGTACTATTTGAAGAGTAACAAGGCCATTCTTACTGATGACCTGGTGATACCTTGTCTCAACCTCAAACAAACACTTTTATATGCATAAAAGTTTAATTAAAATACTTTATAAACTGCAAATTTAATTGTTGAAGGATACATTCTTTCATAACAAAGTTGTTCTGTTCATGGTGCTGCCATTTACGTTCCAGATTCATTAGCTGAAAAGAAAATATTAAGAGGTAAGTGCTAGTTCCAGTACTTAAGTTGAATTTTGGAGATGAACTTTTAACATATTTTATCTGGAATTCCGCAGATCATCCCAGGCACCAGCTTATGTTGTTGACTCCACTTCCTTGGAGGTGCAATGAAATGGTACATTTCTCATTAATTGGCTTTATGGTCTTGCTATATCTTGTGCCGAGTAAACTTCCTCATCCTCACACATGAGTACATCAAAATACATGGGAAGGGAGAAAATCTTCCTCATTTACAAACGGCAAGTTCATGTTCTTTTAAAAAATCTCAATTAAATTGTATTGTTATTTATATCCATATACATGCTTATGTAAATTTACTACTCAAAGTACCAACTTGGTATAGTGAATGTAGTTACTTCTGTCTTGTAAATTTTTGGAAGTACTGCATCCTTCAATCGAGGACCAACTAGAAAGCCTTTCACCACCTTAAATAACAAAGCAGCTGCACTCCTGTTATCTTTCTATGGCGCATGACTTTCCAGACTTTATTAACCATAAAACTTGTTAAATATACAGAACTTTTAAATTAGAAACTAATATCGTGAATGCAGTGATATATCATAACACAGCATTTGCAAACCCTGCCAAATATGTAAGCTTGTGTAATAAAGTAACACATTTGGCAGATCAAAAAGAAACCAGGCCTAATCCAAATCAATGAAATAAAATCTTTTGATGTTTTGATTAAAAAACGAATAGAATGTTAGAAAATGAAGCAATTCAACCTTTATGACTGCTGCAAAGTTGAGTAGAGTGCTTGTGGATTGGGAGGCAGGAAGTTAGAATTTGGTGTTTGTAAAAATGCTAGGCGGGAAAGCATTGCACGGTCCCTTTAAAAGATGATGTGCTTTTTTTAATGCTTAGAGATGTAAAATAGATGTCTGCGAGTGGCAGCTTGAAGATTTGCAAGTACACAGAGAGCACCCGAATTGAAACATTTGTATCAAATAGCCGTACAGTTAGCAGGCCAAGCAGCAGTTTTGTTTTGTTACTAAGACAATAAATTTTTGAATTTAGCCAATCAATTTAAACCAAGCATTTAGATACGAAAAACCAATTAAATTTAAATCTGATGGTTTTGACAACATAGGACAAAGCTTATTGTAAGAAATTGATACGTCATCAAGGGTATAAAAGAAGGGGGCAGTTGGACAAAGAGCAGAGAACTAACTTACCTCAGCTCTCAACAGAGGATCGCTGGCTCTCAAAGCCTCCTCTATGTCTAAGAGAAAGCACCATCTAAATACCAACAGTACCAACGGCACAACTAGTTAATATTCCTTAATACTCCTGACAGAAGAATCGACAGAGAAGGCACAGAATGTTCTGGAAGACATGTAACCTGGCTGCAATTTCAAGTGACTAAATTCTTTTTTTTATACGAGTGGGATTTATTGGAAGAGCATACCATTAGCATCTTGCTTTATTCGGGAATAGTTAGTAGTTAGAAGGGATTTATTCAGTTTATTAATTGTTTAGTTATTTGATCATTGTCAGAGTTAGATTAATAAATTGTTAATTGCTGACTGTAAAGTGAGTGTCAGGGATTTATTTTACTTGACCATGAGAAGTTGTTGAAAGGCAGGGTACACCACTTTTCACATTCCTTTTACAGATTATAAGGCAATGTCTTCCTCTTTGGGCATTTCAGTGTTAGTTCTCAGAGGGGGATCAACCTCTGCTTTATGACAATGACACAATAAAAAAAAAACATACCTGAAGAATAATAACACTAATAAGATAGTAACAAATAGAAAAGACCCAGCCGGTAGCAAAATAGAATAGTCAAACCCAGTACCAGAATTGACAGTACTCAAGGATAAAAAGATCTGAAAGTCATGACAAGGGTCATGTCATTATAGCATTTATGATCTGTTGGGAAATGCAAGTGCTTTCAGGCTACTTCAAATAGATGAATTATTGACTTGTTGTGACCAGGTAAGGAGTATGATGGCTCCCCAATTTGTTAAACACCTCTCAGCTGGTTGCAACAAGTATTTTTCTTTGAAAAGTAGCTAATGAATTTCAATTTAGCTTTATTAATCACACCAAATATGAAGGAGAGCAAATTCCATGGTTTTCTTGAGTGGAAGAAAATGGAGTTTTAACACCTATTTTTGTCAGTTTAATAAGTAAGCGTGACATCTAACATATACACACACACAACAGGTAATAGGTTAAAAAGGAAGGTGGAGAGGTGGATGTTTAAACAGGCAGAAAGGTGCAGTTTAATTTTTTTTAACGAGTCATTGAATTTTGAGAGCGAAACCCAGTCCTAATGGTTGAGCTAATATCCCATATCCTTAGGAATGGCAATGCTTTCAGATAATCTTGATTTGTCAGTGAATGGTGGCTTTTCCATGTTAATTTTTCACCTGTTAGTTTCTTACATTGAGAAAGAAAGGAGAAATGCTTTCACCATCCTTTCTGTTATCAGTCTATGTTGATTTCTCTCTTTTGTTGCTCAAAGTAAGCTACTGAAGTATAGCTCTTCTGTATATTTCAACTCTACAGTATGTCTTTTTCAAATTAAACACTATGCAAGTGACTTTTCATCTTCCAACGTGAATTTATTCTGCAAAAGTGAGTAAAGCAGGAGAATTTCCTTGATACCCGAGTTTCAGTGTCCTTGATTAAAATGGCAATTCTGATACGGTCCACTTTGTATATTTTATATAGATTTCTTAGGCTCCTCAGGTGATCACAGCCATCATTTTATGTCAGTAGTGTCCTTTGTAAAACAATTTTTAGTCAATGAAAATCTTAGATGTTAAAGTCAAATGATGAAATTTGAATATTGATGGTCCATTTTCATTACAATCATTACAGACTTCACAAGAATACAACAAAATAGGAGTAGACCACCTGGCCTGTTCAGCCTGCTCTGTCATTCAATGCGATCTTGGGCTTAACTCCTTTCCCTGCAGACCTCACATATTCTTTGATTCCTTGGCACATCAAAAATCTGCCTATCCCAACCTCAACTGTATTCAAAGATTGTGCATCCACAATCCTCTGAGGTAGTGAATTGCAAAAATTCAAAATTCTTTACATGAAGTAATTTCTCCTTATTACAGTACTAAATGATCATCCCCTTATCTGGAGACTGTGCTCTTGCATTTTAGGTGCCTGACCAGCAGAAACAATCTCTCTGCATCTACACTATCAAGCAGCTTCTGAATCTTGCATATTTCAACTAGGTTACTTCTTATTCTCTTAATTGCCTTAGAACATAGATCCATTTTGCTCAGCCTTCCATCATAGCATAACTCCCTCATCTCAAGGACCAATATAGTGGATCTTTGTTGCACCAACTCAAATGTAATTACATCTTTTCTTAAATGTAGAGACCAAAATTGCAAAAGTACACCAGACCAAAGTCCTGTAATAACATTTTTTTATTCCTATACTCTAACTTCTTTGCAATAAAGGCCTGCACAAACACCATTTGCCTTCCTATTTGTTTGCAGCACTTGCATGCTACCCTGCAGCGTTCCTTCTATGAGCAGACCCACGTCTATGAATTTCAACACTTAAAAGTTTCAGATCTTTTAATAAATATTACATTTTTCTATTCTGAAGGCAAAAATGAGTAACTTAATTCTCTATTTTAGAAACAAGTAGAAATACTAGTTTTCTTTTTTTGCATTACTGCAAAGACCAATGCATTTATATCAAATCACCAAGGCAGCCTCTGTATTTCAGCATTCATTTCATACTAACAACAGAACATTATTTTGATGGATTATGTATGTGAGAATGAAAAGTGAAGGAAAGGTCTACAGCAATGATTTGTAAACTAGTTACAACATAGCCCATTTTAATTCATCACCTTCAAGGGCAATTAGGGATGATAATAAATGTTGGGCTTGCCTGTCGCACTCAGATCCTAACAGTCCCTCTTCCCAAACAGCTTCCCAACACTCCTTCAACAGCATGGTCTTTCCAACAGCTTTACAACACTCAGCTGCCACATCATCATGGTGCACCACCTCCTTATGTCCAACTGGTAAATTAACAGATTCTTCATAACTGGATTGGACGATCCTTGACCGTCAATCAAGCTTTGGCCAACCCCATCTCCATATTTTTATAATATATTAACAAACCAAGTGAAAAATAAACTTCTCTACAATTCTTTGCCTGGCTTTGTTTGCAACAGAGATTCACCTATATTTTCTCAAGACTCCAGGGCAATCCTATTAAGTACAAAATGGGGAAATCCACTTTGCATAATTCATGAACTTCCATTCCCATACATCTTTCATCTGATCTTTGGCTCTATTCTTTTGCTTCTTGACCCGATCCTTCAGTGAGAGTCTTCACAATTCAAAAGGGTTCTCAATAAAATGACTTGTAATCTTTGTAAAAGAGCCAATTAAAAAATTAAATCTATGTTTGCATCAGATCTGATTTCATTATGAATGACAAGCTCCTCAGTTGGGCCTCGGTCTATAAGGATAAAACCTCTTGTGATCACTATTGTCTCGAGTGACAACAGTTTACCTTTGAAGCTTTTATTTGTTGGATTGAGAAACACACAGAATGCAATAGATATTTTGATACAACAAAAAGGTACAAATTTATGAAGTCAGGCTACTGTGACTGAAAGCTGGTGCTGATTTAACCAGTCAAGACCCGTGCTCCATTGCCCCCAAACTCCAATACTCCCAAACTCCAAAACCCTAAGTATGACAAGACACAGCTCCGCTACTTTCCCCAACCTGAATTGCTGCTCATGATCCAGTTCAGCGACATTGACTGCTCCATAGTAGAGGCTGCACCAGACTAGTGATTCAGAAAGAAGTGCTCTTGCAGGTGGGCTTTGAGGACACAGATTCTGCTGCTCTCTATCACAGAGATGCAAATAGAATGGCCAAAGATTCAAAAGACAGGAGCTGATTGACAGCTCTTTCAGGCTAGGCAGAAGACAGAACCAAATTAAAAAGGCTGTCATGTAG